ACCAAAGAGTCCCTCCCCTTGCCCAATGGCCGGCCCCCGTGCCCCCTGGACCAGGAGGACTGCGAGGAGACCATCGAAGTGTCTGCCTACGGCTCGGGGGAGATGACCGAGTCGGACGACGAGGACTATTACAAAAACTCCCCCCTGGTCACCGACAGGACTGTGCTCCCTCCTCCCCCGGCCGCCGAGGGCGGCGTCCAGAACCCTCGCGACCGCCATTTCTCCCGCATTCCCAACTCACACCGCCCACCTCTCTCCTCCACCCCCACGGCCAACCCCGACCAGCTCAGCCCACGCATCAAGCCGGCCGCTGGCGGCAGCAGTAGTAGCAACAACAACATCCCCGCTGGGAAAATGAACACCCGGGACCAAGTGCTGCTGCCGCCAGCCCACCCATCATCAGACCCGGGCCACCGTAGAGTCCCTGGAATAACCTACCCCCCAAATTTCCCCCATGTTCCCACTCCAGATCCCACGTCTCCTGAGAGAGGGCTCCCAGGCGCTGTGGAGGTGCAGCAGTCCAGCAGCACCACAGGGATGGTGGTAGGCATCGTGGCCGCCGCCGCGCTCTGCATCCTCATCCTGCTCTACGCCATGTACAAGTACCGCAACCGCGACGAGGGCTCCTACCAAGTGGACCAGAGCCGCAACTACATCAGTAACTCAGCCACGCAGAGCAACGGCGCCCTGGTGAAGGAGAAACAGCCCAGCACTGCCAAGACGGTCACCAAGAACAAGAAAAACAAAGACAAAGAGTACTACGTCTGAGGGAGCGCTGACCTGACACACAGAGACAGACGGCAGACGCACTTAGAGAAGGAAAGAGACAATTGAGAGAAAGAGAGAGAGAAGGAAGGAGACAGGCAGTATAAAAGGAGAGAGAACATAACACAGGGCGATTCCTTATTAACTCAGTATTGTCAGGTGACCCTTCATGGTTCCAATTCCAGTCTAATCAGAGGGAGCCAAAAAAAAAAAAAGGCCAAGGTCATGGTTGTGGTCAGTACTTTCAGATTCTGTAGACTTCTTATAAACTGTTGACCGTGGTGTGTTTTAGGGAAGGCAATCACACCTCAGATCTCCATACTGTGCCAACGTCCTTGTACCAAATGCCAATAAAACAGTGATTTATGGATTAGTATGTGACAGGTTATTTAATATCTCGAGTACTGTAGGAAAGCACCATCGTCAGTATTTGTGTCAGGGTCTGTTCTTAATTCTGAGGCCAGCTTGTGGTGAAGCCTTCACCTGAGACGGTATCAACTTCATATTTTCAAACTAGGCTTGAGTTAGCAACATGACGTCCCTCTGCAAAATCAAAATACTGCCAAATCCAGCTCCCCCACCAGATGTCTCTCTCTCTTCCTCTCATTTGCTCGTGCACTCTGTTTCTCTCCTTGTCTACGGCGTTAATGCAGCTGATGCGACGTAAACTCTGCCGTGTTTCAAGCATGTAGTATTCATTTACGAAAAAGAGATAAAAACTGTTTTTCTTTCTGTGGAGTTTAAAAAAACAAAAAATATGACAATGATTGATGATCATAACAATGTTAAACGTAGCAACTATGTGAGATACCACCGCTCCAACCTAACGGATGCTAACTTGTACGTTTAGCCGCCAAAAACTTGTTGAGGCCAAAACCCCTTGGTCGTCTTTTCCAGCAGATCTGTGTCATATGTTTCTGGGGCTCCGAGGTGCCCCCTAGCGGGCCAGCAGACAAACTGTCACGTCCTTGCAGTTACTAAACAACGGAAAACAGAAAAAACCTCCAGCAAACAAGATGAACTATGTTCTATAAAATTATAAATATATGTATAGACGTTGCAGAAACCTATGGACCTAAATCGTGAGCCAGTGGAAAAGGGAGAGTTCGCTGATATTGCGCAGCGAAGGTGGACTTTAGGATTTTAGACGTCGGAACAGTCTCACTACCCAAGTCCTCTGCTTCCCCCTGACCTCACCCTTTCATGAACAGGAACAGGATGACTGATGAAATGCCTTGCTGCAAGACTCGGTCACTTACGTTTGCACTGTTCTTTTTTATTTGGTTCTTTTCTCTGGAGAAATGAGACACGTTTTAGGGAAATTGTGAGTTTATTCTTGCTGGAGTTCCACTGTGGAGAGAGAAACCTTGCAGCTGAAAAAAGCAACTGTCCCTCTCTGGCCTGACTGGACTGATGGCAGCCAAAAGGCAACGCAAACTTTGTGGGAAGAACACACAAATGAAAAGGGTGAACGGCAGTTCCCTGGAAGACGTACAACATGAACTCTAGTATTCCAATTTTCTCAACTCTATTAAAAAAAGAAAACTGTACCATGAAAAGAAAAGAAAAATCCAGAAAAAACTTTGTGAAATGTCTAAATATTTGACTCTCATTCCATTACTAAGAGAAATGTGTTTTCCCTCCTATCATTCCTGTTTGGAGAAAAAAATGTCTATGATTCTGGGAAACCCTAAATTCCTATGTATTTTCTTTCGGTAATTGAGCAAATGAAACCACACGTTCTCCTTTTAATTCGTCTGTCATCCACAATCTGTTTTTTATCCTCCATCTTTAACTTTTTCTCTGTACGGCAGATCGTGTGTCCTCGTACCCTGTAGAAAACGCAGGTTTGACCCATCGTCTGTCTCCTTTTTTTAAAATTTGTTTTGTATCTATTTCTGTCTATGTGGCTTGAGACAAGATGGCCACCATTTCATATGACAGGCTCCATCGATTCACTGTCCTGCCACGTCTGGTTTCACTCCTTCTCCATTCTAACCTTACTCCTCCCAGTATCTTCCTGTTCTTTCTAAATGTTATTGTAAAGTGTTCCAGTGAGATGACTCTAAATATGTGTACATTAACAGAGGGAATACACTTGGTTATATACTTCTTACTCCCTGTGTTGCGTGGTCTCTTTATCATCTCCTTTCAGTCTAACTTGATTTGATCCCTGATGCAGATGGTTCCACTTACATCAGATTCATATTCTAGTCAAATGCTTTACATGCTGCTGTATTTCATCATTCCACAGTGGCACTGCTTCAGCAACCTACAAATGATAGTCACCTTCCCTTAATGGTAGAGTATTACATTATCGTGCTTGGACTGAAAGAGTGTGCATACACTGTCAGAAATACAATCTTCAGTGAAGGACAATTTATTCTTCTTAACTATATATCATTGGCTTTCTGTTTTCACCAGATATCCTTTGCATCTTTCCTCCTCCTTCAAACTGTTGAGAGTGAAGGGAGCTGCACAGAGGAAGAGACCTTAGGCAAAGAGACTGCACGAGATGGAATGGGCAGGTGCAAGTCAGTGTTCTGAACACTAGGGGTCGGACGATTAATATCAATTACTTTTAAAATGCACAACTTTGGCTCCGATGCAGCCGCCTCCCTCTGTCTATATACACCACTCTGTGGTCTCGAGCAATGTCCCACCCGCAGCACTATCTGGTTTGTTACCCGTCACGCCCATCAACGAGAAGGGCCACTGAAGTTCCACAGTAGTTCCACATATTTCTTTCAGACTGGAGCAACTTTGGTCACAGAGCTGAGCTGTGTTTTCAAAAGGTAACGGCCTTGGCCACAATGGCTGCTATAAGGCCACTGTTCTGCAGAGGAGCTGCTACTGCCAGCGATGTGTTAACATAAAATTTGCCTTGAAAATGGCCATAAATATTACATTTGATCACATTTGGTTTTCATCCTCAACAAGTGGTCCGAAATGGGAAGCTTATGGTACGGTATGTCATTTAAAGGTCCAGTGTGTAAGATTTAGGTGAAAGGGAACTATTGGCAGAAATTTAATGTAGAATAATCCTCATGATGTTTTCACTAGTTCATTTCATCTAAGTTTTCTTTACCCCAGAAAAGACCCTTTATATTTAAATACTTATTTACATCGAGGGGGTCTTCTCTACGGAGGCTGCCATATTTTTTTACATTAACATTTTTCATGTTTGGAAGGGGAGGCTGAGGTGAGGGGTGTTCAGCTGCAACATGCAATTTCATAACGAGATATCACAATATTCTACACACTGTACCTTTAAAAACTTTAACAACCAGATTTTTTTATTTTTTTATTTTTACTGCAAATGTATATTGTTTTTAAATATCGGTTATCGGTAGCCTACTAATAATTGGTATCACCTTCGGCCCTGGAAAAACCATATCAGTCGACCCCTACTGAACATTGCAGGAACTTAGTGATTGTAGTCTGGTCTATAATTTGTACCAAAGATGTTGTATGTGACCACACTAGAGATGTCGCGATTAACCGATTTTACGATATCCATGATTTCATAAATATAAGAATTGTAAAAACTATGATATCTAACTATGTTCACCTATACTGAGAGGTAATAGTATACTAAGGACATTAAGAATGTGGCAAGAACCAGGACAACCAGTCAACACTTCACTCCCAAAACCGAACAATTTCCTTCACAGTCAAAGTCCTCTACAGATAAACTGCTTATGATGACAGGAAACACAAATTCAGTGACCGACCTTCCACAGTAAAGCAACTAAATAAAATAGCTTACATAAATTCCTCTTAAATATCCAAACGTCACACTATTTCCTCTGACAATAATCTTGGCACCAACATTTCATATCGTGACATCCTTAGACCACACTAACATATTTCATATATTTTTTAGATTCAGTTTGACTTACACTTCCTGAAGATATTGGATATTATCTAACTGCACGCTGAATTCACTGCATAGTTCTTTCAGTCCAGAGTTTTTTTGCAAATCAGAATAACTTTAGAGGAGCCAGTTTTTCAAAATAAAAAGTAAAAATTACATGATTTTTTGTGTTATTCACTATGGAAATATACTTCATGTTGATAAGAAAGGGGTAGGGGGAGGCGATCATAGTCCTCTCAATTTTGTCTGAGGTCGGCCTACACTGTCTTTTTAAAACTGTCACTCTTTAATATGCTTTATCCAGTGAAACAAAGTCAGAGCTTATTAGTGGTACAGAGAATGTTTTGCCATCACTCACCCCAACAGAGAGGTCTGGATCATCTCAGGACAGCACATCCGGAACTGGCAGGGGTCATCTGTATTTGTGGTGACACTGAAGAAAAAAAAACGAAAAACGGTCAATACTGATTTGCGGCCACGCAGTTTCTTGTAACTTGTGATCACATCTGTAGGCAGAGCTACTGGTTTTTGAACAAAATCATTTTATGACAATACATATACATGTATGTATGTGTATATATATATATATATATATATATATATATATATATATATATATATATATATATATATATATATATATATATATATAGWGAGGCATAAAAATTCAATAATAAAGTAAAGCAAGAAAAAAGTCATTGTATAAAAAGGCATGAAATGTCACAGGTATAAGAGGTATAAGGTATAAAATAGCCATTAAAGTAGACAAATGAAAATGTCATCAAATAATGAGGTATCAAATAAATAGAGTAGTAAGGCATCAAAAACCATCACAGTTTAGAGGCCTTAAAAATGTCATTGCAAGTAATACATTAAAACTTCATAATATAGCAAGACATAGATGTTATAATATAGTAAGGCCTTTAAAATGTCATGGGATAATAACAAATTAAAAACATAAATACTAGAGGAGGTCCAACAAATATCAGTGTAAAGTGAGGCAAAAAAGGCCACAAAAGTCTTACTGTAGTAACACATAAAAACGGTGTAAAGGAGGTGAAATGTCTGTCACCTCTTTTTCTAATAATATTTAAAATCAGTATTGAGGGCCATAATGACAAATTCGCCAACTTTGCCTTTAATTTAGGTCTACAGTCGAATCTTGTGAAACTTGACATGCACACGGTGAGTGAGGTGAAAATTCTGTCACCTCTCAAGGATTTAAAAAATAATATTTAGGAGCAGGTGTTGCCACAGTGTATGACTTGCACTATACATATACAAATTGAACTAAATTGGCTGCCAACTATTTTGATTATCAAAAATAATCAATTAAATCGACTACTTGTTGCAGGCATAATCACTACATCCCTGCAATACACGCCAGGGGGATAACAACCGTGGTGAAGACATGCTAATGATCCAAACTTTAGAGAGCAATCATACAAATGAAGAACATTATCAAACCCCTCTCCAATCAGGAACAGCATGCAGCCACTGAGACTTAACTTCTCTCTAAGACAGTTTTTTGAAAGACAGTGATAAGTGCTCAAATGTTGTAGCAGTGATTTATTCATTCTATTAAAGATTCAAGTCTGATAATATTTTAAGGGGCTATGACATTCCCTAAACTTTATTTGACCATGTATATTTTGAGCTACACAAATCACAGTATCTAGGGCTACTGTCAGTGCTTGATAAATTAAATTTACATTCAATTAATACATGAGCCTTTTACTCTAATACGTTTAAAATTGTTCCTTATGGTCTGGTTCTCTCTGCAGTCGCGATAAGTGTAGGCCACAATTTGAGAATTTACGAGAGTCACACATCTGACTGAACACGGCTATATCATTTTCTGTCCACTTGTTTTCTATTGGACCGGAAAAAGGATGTGGTGAAAAATTGGGAAGTTGTGTGACAGGTGTAATGGGGAGCAATATTATTTCATTTTACCTCTTTTGCCTGAAATTAGCACCTGACCACACAATTCTAATGCTTCATACAGGATGAATCTGTGGAGGCAGAGGCTGCTGGGAGCTGAAGTAACCAGCACATCAGTTTAACATGGTCGTCTGTAATGCAAGCAGAGTGTAGCCATTGGGCCATTTCCTGCATCACAATACTAGTTCTCTTCAAACCCTGGTGGGCCATGGTACATCTATAATCCCTCCACAAATTACAGGTGTAAAATAATAGTCATGTTAGTTTAAATGGTATCACTGTACGGAGCAATTGGAGAGGTCATGCATAACCTGCATGTGCACTGACCCTAATCAGGCACGCTTGTGTTTTTAGATTCTAATAACGCCATTTTAAAATGATGTCTTCATGTAGTAATCTAAATAAACTATATGATATAATTTTCTGATTCCCTGCCGTATGATCAGAAATTATATTTCGATCTATATAAGCTTTTGATCGTGTCTATAGTCTAATAAGGTGCAGAGAGATTTTTGAACTTTGAATCACATTATTTTCTGACTTCATGGTGTCACTTTTAAGCTTTAGATTGACTATCTAGCCTTATCATTTGTGGAAATTCTCTTTAAACGTGTATTCCCACCAAATTTAGAGAAAATCTGTCACTGCATTGTTGAGTTATTTAGTATATCCACACACTCATATGACAACTATCCCAGGTACAGTATGTGTACCTGCTGCTCTTCTGTTGGCATAGCTGTGTATCTTGGTACCTAACTTGTCCGCTGTGCATCACCCAGCACACGAAATACATCATGACAAACTAGACATAAAGTGATCTGCACCTTGTTGAGATTATTCAACTCCCTAAATGCAATTGATCAATTGTACACAACGCACAAAAGTACAAGCAATCCTGAAGTAAATGAATTACCAACACTGCCTGTGTTTGAGTCCACACCTCTCACGTGCTGCAGTTTGCATCTTGGCTGACAAAAGCTGCCACTTGCGCACTTGGAGCAGCTCTCGCTCCCTTAACTGTCGGGCCCTGATCAGATCCAGCCTGCTCATTTGAAAAGAGTCTCTTTAATTTAACAAACACGTGCTTGTGGAGCAGCTAGTCTCAGGCTGGATGTTTGTTGACTATGAATGATGAGTGAAAATGCAGCAGTGAGAATAGCTACAGATGCAAGTGGGAGGCCCATCACATCACATGTAATACAACTGGCTTTAAAAGAGGAAGAGATCTAGCAGAAGCTGCAGAGGAGGCAGCAGTAGAGACAAGTGTTGCCCTTAACCTCTGGTTTTCACAATGAGGCACATGTCACAGACAAAGGCCACAGTCTACGCAGTTTTACAGCTGAGAGTACAAATGGAAATGTCACAGTCACGACAAAATACAAAAGTTGATTTGAGTAAATTCCATTAGCCATAACGTTCATTTCTTTCGCAATGTGGCTGAATTCTTACTATTCCAGAGATTTAAACCAGATCCATATAAAAATGTAAATACCAAAAATTTAATCTGAGTGGGTAGATTACTAAAGTACAAAGGTGAAGCCAAATCAGCCTGATCGCCAGCTGATGGCTGAATATAGTATATAGTTAATTCACTCTGCCACCTCCATGTTAGTGAAATTGGACAAGGGCCAAGCCAAAATGTCAAAGAATGGATTAAATACATTTTTCTGAAATATGGTTTCTGACATTTTTTGTAGTTCTTATCATATTGATGCGTGTTAAAATGTTATTTCCCAGTAGGTCTGGTTTTAATTAGTTGAGGCTGTAAAAATGTCGATAAAACGTCATGATTTATTCAGTAAATAAAATCACTGTCCTTGAGACCAAGTGAACGATTCCAAATCTGGAGACATATCCACTTTTTTAGATTTACTGAGGGATCCTGTTCATGTGAATGGAACGGACAGATGAACAAGGCATAACGATAATGGAGGAGAGCTTTGGTGCAGTTAACTTATATGGAGAGTAATGTGCTCAAAAAGCAACAGGTAGACTATATATATTGATATATAGATATATCAATATATAATCGAACCACCAACGGTCCTTCTAGGTTACAACCCGCTCTACCTCCTGAGATAAAAATATATTGGGTCATCAGTGATGGTTCAGTTTAACCAGGTAAGAAATAATGAGACGCTGTGTTGGCACAAAAAGCTGACACGGTTGTGTTGTTGTTCGATCAGTGAGATGTAGAAAACTGTTATATATATATATATATGATGAACACTGCTACACAAAACAATCCCTAATTCCAAATCCAAACATTAACCTCAGGGTGGGAGTCAATATCCATTAGTCAATCATCATCTTAAACTACTCTCACAAAAATTATAGACATTGTTCAAAGCCTGTTTGTTCTGTCACCTCTCACTGTGGTAAATTTGACTGGTGCTTGAGTTTTGTATCCCAGAGGATAAAAAAAGAAGAATTCCTCTGTAATCAAATTTAAAACAGTGACTCAAAAGACAGCGCTCCCTCCCCAGGGATTAAATCAGCACAAACACACAAAGACAGCATCCAATTGAAACCCCTGTTTATGAATCTGGAACAGGGGTGAGTAAAGGTAAGGAAGGAAGGAAGAACAAGACTTCTCTGCTCCAATTTGTGTGGTGTTTCCTTCCTATTTCATCATCCAATCTGCTATCCGACTGTGAGATGTACCCTGTGGCCGCTTTTCCCCATTTACCCTCCAATCTGTAAAATATGACGTGCACACATGCATGGATCACACTACAATAAGACATCGCAAATATTTCCAGACTAAACTCGTTGTCCTCCTTGCTGTCAACATTCGTCCTACAGCGAGGGCTTTGTTTCTGCCCCGCTCTGCTCGACATTCATCAAATTAATGAAGTAAAAAGCCAAAAACAAAGCTGTGGCATCATTTCCCCACTGGCACAAAGCTTTCTTGTAAACATGCCTGAGAACTTAGTGATCATAAGAGATGTGACGTCACTGCATAGACAATCAACAATGACACCATCTCATTAGCCGCCCCTGCTGTGCAAATTATCAGCCCTGTGCTTGAGTGTGTATTTGTGCACGTGTGGGTGCATGTGAGCATCAGAAAAAGCAGGGCAGCTTCAGACTTGATTTGTTTATTTGCCTCTTTGAGTAAAAGCTCAAATGGGCTGTGAGATGCCTGTGTTGTCGCGTCTTTAACCCTGTGTGTGATCATGCCGCCCCCAGGCAGAGTTTAGGACAGAGGGGGGGCCCGTACAGGAGCAGACTTTGTTCGAAGCCTCCAAAGAGAAACAGGTATACAGACATTATGGGTCTCAAGAGTTTTGGACCCACACACCTGCAGACAGCAGAGTGAACTGTGGGAGTTCAGAGATGATGCCGGTTTGACTTTTGAGAATCAGACTTTCAAGGCTGTGGTGTTTTTGACAACTAGGGAGCATGGACTTACAAACACCTTTGAAGACACAACAACAGGCACAGCTTAAAGAATCTACCGCAAGGAATTCAAAGCTGTTGCACTAA